TTTAAAAATGATATTACAGTTCTAAATGTTTCAATCAAAGGCTTAAGAGCCTCAAGGGCCTTCTTAACAATCAGATTGATAATATGACATGCACAATGCTGATGCAAGAACATTGAATTAACTGTAGTAAGGGATGATACATTGTCTGATTGTGATTCAACAAGATCATCTACAACCTCAATACCAAGATATTTAGACAACACAGGTCTAAGTTTATGTATGGCAGAAATATTAGATGATGCATTGTCTAAAGTAACAGCAAACACCTTTTCAGTCAAACCATAATCAATAAGCACAGATACAACATGGTCAGCAATGTTTTATCCATTATGGGACACATCAATAAGCACAAGACCAAGCACCCTCTTCTCTAGTTGCCAATCAGAGTTTATGTAATTAGCAACAACATTAATGTAGTTCTCTTTGGTATTACCAGACCAAATATCAGAGGCCAAACACACACAATTAACAACAGAAGAACTAAGATTCTCAACAAGCTTAGCCTTGCGATCAGTAAAAAATTTAACCATGTCTCTAATGGTGGTTTGCTTAGAGATAGGAACATATTTAGGATTATGAGCAGTTCTAATGTACTCTTCAAATGCATCAGTTTCACCCATATTGATAGAAACATCTAGCCTAGCAAGCAATCGAACAAGTTCAGTATGTGCAACCATAGGACAATACTCCCAATTACGCATACTACCATCGGGATTAAAAGAGATCTGAGACTGAGACATGCGATTTTTTTCACGCCTCCTGGGGCATTTATCTCTATACCGAATGAGGTGACCAGTGCCACCACTAGAGAGAGCAGAATATTGTTTAGAGCAATGGATACATTTAGCGGCATACCTGACCTTCTTACCATTGACTTTTTTAAAGATCTTCTTAAAATCCAGCCACACTACCGAATTAGAGGGACGAGAGCGCTAGGTGCTGTTCTCGTCCTCTTCACCTTACTCGTCATTTACTGCCCCTCCTTCTTGACCATCGCCAACATCAATGGGAGCCTAAGCGCTACGGTCGAACAGCTCCTCGGCGTCCTCACGCAGGTTGTCCTCATCGTGATCTCTGGCCAACCCGCACAACCGCCTCTCTTTGTTGGCGCCGACCTCAACCATTTCATCATCGGAGCCGGGCATCGTCACTCGTCAGCGCCCCGATTCCTCAACAGCTACAGAAAAGAAGCGTTAGTACAGATCTAGGGTTAGGGTTAGCAAGTTAGGGCTAGGGTGAGGGTTAGGATTAGGGTTATCTTTGCAGCCGGAGCACCAGAATCACCGGCGATGTCGATGAAACACAGATCCGACCCCCTGGTTCCTCAACGTATTCGAATCCGGAGCACCAGAGCAGCCAGCATCCGGTGAGGTCGACGGAGACGAAGAGGAGGACGACAAGGAGAGGATTAGGCTACATCGACGATGCGAGATCAAGAAGAGGGGGGGGTACTATGTCGTGTCGTTTGCCAGTGCCGGCCACTGGTGCCTCAAGAGGCCACCGGAGGGGGAGAAGAATAGAGGAGTGGAGAGTTGTCGTCGCAGCGGAGAGACGAGAGGGCAAGACAGGAGAGAGTGAGAGCGGGGATGAAAATGAATTGGGGTTAGGGTACGGGGGCGAGGCGGTATATATATATACACCTCTCCCTCCAATGGGCAAATCCGACGATCGGATGGAGCAAGGGAGGGGGATCCGACGGCTCTGTGGGGAGGAGCCGTGCCGCAGTCGTGTCGGCCATCGAAGGGGGAGAAGAAGAGAGGAGTGGAGAGTCGTCGTCGCAGGAGAGACGAGAGAACGAGACAGGAGAGAAAGAGTGGGGATGAAAATGAATTAGGGTTAGGGTTCGGGGGCGAGGTGGTATATATATACCTCTCTCTCCAATCGGCAAATCCAACGGTCGGATGGATCAGGGGAGGGGGATCCGACGGCTCTGAGGGGAGGAGTCGTGCCGCAGCCGTGCCGGCCCTGTTTAGGCGTGCCGTGCCTAGGCCAGCACTACGGGCCGACTTAGCGGTCCAGGCACGACACTATGCTCGGGCCGTGCTAGGCACGAGCACGATGCTAGCCAGGCCGGGCCGTGCTTTTCTTTGTCGTGCCTGGTCTAGGCCATCGTGTTAGTGCCAAATGGCCAACTATACACACGACACGAGGTCCCTCCTCTAGGGATGCACCACGCACGCTTCCGAGACCGCGGCAATAATTTGGCCTCGCTGAAATGCGTCACGATCAAGATATTGGATTTCCTCCTGATATCTCTGTGATTTCGCCTATCTGTTGTAGTAGGAGTATTAGCTAATACTGCAATTATAGCTTCCAGCTCGAGTAATGCCATGGCCCATGACAGAATAGCAGCCCAGCAGCACACGGCATGACAAAACTACTACTACTACTAAACAAACAAAGGGACTAAGGCCTCATTTAGATCACCCTCAGATTCCAAGTTTTTTCACTCTTTCTTCATCACATCAATTTTTGGACGTATATATGGAGCATTAAATATAGGTAAAAAAATAACTAATTATACAGTTTGGTTGTAAATCACGAGATGGATCTTTTAAACCTAGTTAATCCATGATGAGACAAAATTTGTCAAATACAAACGAAACGTGCTACAGTGTCCAGGTTGTAAAAATTTACAATCTAAACTAGGCCTAGAAAACTGAAAACATGCCGAGTCGTTGCCAGTCTCACGATTCATGCATGAACCGCTTGGCGATGATGCCATGGGCGTGTATGCTTACGACGACGACGACAGGCCCTGCGCCCCGGGCGAGGTTGCCCGGATCCCCCGCGGATTTTCCCCATGTGAGGACGTCCTGCTTGTCCGCACGTCCTTCGGGGTCGGCTCGGACTTTGCGGCCGCCCTTGAAGAATGGCTGCAACTGCCAAGGCAAATTCCCTGTGCTATCTGCTGTGTAGTGTGCACCGCATGGCGCACGCGGAGGTGGATCGAGTTGCTGGCTGGCCTGGCCTTGCCTGGCCCCCGCGCGCGCACGACGATGACCATGCCTCCTCTCCGCGACTCCGCCCAGGCGGCCAGGCCCAGCTGAGGTCAGCCTCAGCTCCCCGGCGTGCCGGGTGCCGGTGCCGGTGCGCGGTGACGAACGGATGGGAGTGGAGTTGGTACGGTTTTAGATGCGAGCAAGCGACTGCGACGCGAGCCGATCTGGTTCCGGTCTCGCTGTCGCGCGGCGGTGAGGGGGTCTATCTGTGTGGCACGTACGCCGCCGGCCGACCAGCACTCATCCAGATCCAGGGGCCGGCAGGCAGGCCTGACAGCGGGCTCATGCATGGCGCCGTCAGGCCGCGCGACGTACGGCACTCGGAGGCAAGACGGCAACAGTACTGAACCGGATGTTGGCACACTTGAAAACAACGGTGTTGCATTGCATCGCATATTCGCATCGTGTCCCACACACTCCCACCCACGCCGCTTGCAACGCGCGCCTGTGGCGGGCGTGATCCATGCACGTCGACGTGCACCGTACTCGCTTCCTCACCAAGCCTTTTTAGTTAGCGCGGTGTGTGCATGGTCGGACGGACGGCTCCAGAGCTGATTTGGTTTGGTTGGTCATCCAGGTGGTGCTTGCGGTTCGGAACGATCAAGGTCATGGTCATCACTCATCACCACCACGTTGCTTCTGGCTCGCGCTAGCTTTGTGTGTGTGGCCAGTGGCCGTGTGGGTGCGTTGGTGGCTAATGTGCTCCCGGTTGCTCGCCTAATCCAGACCCCGACGGACGGACGGAGACCGGCGAGCTTCCGCCTCGACCTCCAATATTTATTTGAATTGATTGGCACTCGGGGGCTTGGCTTCCGTGGCCACATTTGGCGTAACCGTCGTCGGCGACGTACGTGCTGTGCTGGCACGAGGGGCGGGTCTCTGTCGGCACGCGGCTATCCGTTTCGTTCCGATATTTATTTGTCAGAGCCAAGCAACCGCAGATTCGATTTATTATCGTAGTATTTGTGCATGAGTTTGCTGGCAAACAAGTAAACAACATGACTCCCTTGTTCCTTAGCACTGCCGAAAGCGTGTGTGCGTGCGTGTTTAAAAAGGAACACGTAGGCTCGGCTCCAATCCAATGAGGACTCGTGAGAACGCATGACGGCAAGGGAGATGTGTAAAAGCAGTGATCAATGTGGCCAGGAAAAAAATGCACGCCTAAAAGTAGAGAGCTTTAAGAAGAACACGTAGGCTCGGCTCCAATCCAATGACGATCGTGAATTTTCATGACGGCAAGGGAGATGTTTTTCTCAGTGATCAATGTGGCCAGGAAAAAAATGCACGCCTAAAAGTAGAGAGCTCTCCAAGATACCCAGTCGATACAACTGAGTTTTCGCTTTATTATTATTATTATTATTATTATATTTCTACAGGACTATAGGTGTAGTGTAGTAAGATCATTTTGTACCATTCCAAAAAACATCATTTTGTAAAAAAAAAGTTATGGAGTACGGCATGTTTGCATGCCAACGTGTCACTTCCAGCTCGATGCCTCGATGACAGAGCACCACCCAGTTCACGGTTCACACGCGTGCAAGCCGGAGCCGGCCAGGGCCAGCTCAACCACAAGCGCGCAGGCGGCGGGCGGAAACACGCGCCGGTCCGCGGCAGCTATCGATGCCGCCGGCCGGCTGCAGCGCGCACTGACTGACTACTTGCAGAGTAGCAGCAGTAGCAGGCCAGAGCGGCACAAGACGGCGTCACGGCTGCCGCCACTGGCACTGTACCCGCGCGCATAAAAACACCCTACTACTAGTACTACCACGCGCACGTTCCCACCTCTTCCTCCCGAAATTTCCCACCCCCGAGAAGCAATCCCAGCCCGCAAAAAGCCACCGTCCGCAGCAAAAAAGAAAAAAAAGCGGCAGCGCCAGCCAGTGAGCAGAAAAGCTCCACCTCCAGCTCCAGCAGCTCAAGCTCCCCCCTCGTCCCTTCCCTTCCTCCTCCCCCAATGCCTCGCCCGTAGCCGCGTCCGCAGCTCCACCGCAGGTCGCAATGGCCGGCCCCCGCGCGCCCGTAGCGGCGCTGGCGGCCCTGCTCGCGGTCGCCGCCTTCACGTGCTGCGCCGTGGCGGAGCCGCCGCCGAGCGAGCGGTCCGCGCTGCTGGCGTTCCTCACCGCGACCCCGCACGAGCGCCGCCTCGGGTGGAACGCCTCCACCCCGGCGTGCGGCTGGGTCGGGGTCACGTGCGACGCCGCCAACTCCACCGTCGTCGAGGTGCGCCTCCCGGGCGTCGGCATCGTCGGCGCCATCCCGCCGGGCACGCTCGGCCGTCTCACCAACCTCCGCGTGCTCTCGCTCCGCTCCAACCGCGTCCTCGGCACCATCCCCGACGACTTGCTCCAGCTGCCCGGCCTCAAGGCGCTGTTCCTGCAGCAGAATCTGCTCTCCGGCCCCATCCCGTCGGGAATCCAGAGGCTCGGCGGCCTCGAGCGCCTGGTGCTCTCCCACAACAACCTCTCGGGCTCTATCCCCTTCGCGCTCAACAACCTCACCGCGCTGCGTGTGCTCAAGCTCGACGGCAACCACCTCTCTGGGAGCATTCCCAGCATCAGCATCGCGGGGCTCAGCATCTTGAACGTCTCCGACAATAACCTCAACGGCTCCATCCCCAAATCGCTCTCGCGCTTCCCGCGGGAGTCCTTCGCCGGAAACCTCCAGCTCTGCGGGGACCCGCTGCCACCCTGCAGCAGCGCATTCTTTCCCCCCACGCCATCGCCCGGGGCTAGCCCGGGCGGCGGTGGCCCCGCGCCGGGCTCCTCCAAGAAGCGGAAGCTCTCCGGCGCCGCAATCGCGGGCATCGTCGTGGGCGCCGTGGTGGTGGGGCTCCTCCTCCTCATCGCCATCGTGCTCTGCGCGGTGTCCAAGCGTCGGAGTGCCGCCGCCCGCGAAGGGCCCAAGGCCGCGACATCCGCGGCGGCGGCGGCGGCGGCGCCGGCGGCCAGGGGGCAGCCCCCGCCGGCGTCCAGCGAGGGCGGCGGCATAACGTCCTCGTCCAAGGAGGACCTCGGAGGCGGCGCGTCCGGGTCGGCCGCGGCCGTCGCGGCCGCCGCGGCGGGCGCTGCCGCCGGGGAGCAGAGCCGTCTGGTGTTCGTGGGGAAGGGCGCCGGGTACAGCTTCGACCTGGAGGACCTGCTGCGCGCGTCGGCGGAGGTGCTGGGCAAAGGCAGCGTGGGCACGTCGTACAAGGCGGTGCTGGAGGAAGGCACGACGGTGGTGGTGAAGCGGCTCAAGGACGTGGCGGTGGCGCGGCGCGAGTTCGACGCGCACATGGAGGCGCTCGGCAGGGTGGAGCACCGGAACGTGCTCCCCGTCCGCGCCTACTACTTCTCCAAGGACGAGAAGCTCCTCGTCTACGACTACCTCCCCAACGGCAGCCTCTCCGCCATGCTCCACGGTCAGTGCCCAACATCATCCTCTTATTCCTCGCGCTTGCATTGCGTCGCCGTCGGGTCGCGGTCGCGGCGTCGCTGCTGCATTTGCCTGCGGATTGCCTTGCTTGGTTTTTGCGTCGCGCGGCGCGGGCTGGGATTTTGTTTGCCGCCTTGGGACGGGAGGGACTACGGCGAGGGGAGGACCCGGCGGAGACTTGGGATTCCAAGTCCAAGTCGTCGTCTCGGATAGCTGCCGGATTGCCACCACTCATTCATTCGCAGCATTTACCAGCTATCCGTGCGGAATTGCGCGAGGAATTCACCATCGGTCAGAGCATCTCCTTCACAATTAATTTGGGCAACGTCAGATATGGTAGTACGATCTGGCAGCCCGCGTCGTCACGTCGGTACGGCGTCCGTCGCATCGCCCGCGGCGGCGCGCGTGGACGCGGAAAATTCTGCCGGAACAGGCCGGCATTGATGCCCGGCCGATCGTAGGTTGGTAGGTAGCCGCGACGGCCTCGCGCTCCCCCTGGCATGTGGGCGGCGGCGGGGCTGGGGGTGGTGGTGGTGGTTCTCGCGCGCTTTTCTTCCTCCCGCTTTCTTTTTGCCGCGCTTTTCTGCGATGCGAGAGGGAGAGATGCTGATGCTGCCCGACGAGGCAGTGCGGGCGGCGTGCGCGGTAGTGATGAGCCAGCGTTTGCGTGAGGGTCCTGCCTGTAAAGCCCCCTCGTGGATGGTCACGGCGGACGGATGGGATGGGTATCCTTGCCCGAGAATTGATTTGTTTGTAGCCGTCGCATTGCGACCAGCAAGCCTGGCTAGAACGATCCAGAACAGCATTCCGCTACGGGCACGCTGGACACGGCCCTCCGCCGCGTGACCATGCCGGATACGGGTGCCGCAGTTATTGGCACATGAGGAGGATCCAGCCGCCCCGGCGTATTTGTACTGTATGTATCCCCCCTGGCTGGCGCCATATCTTGTTCCAGGTACTACTACTGCTCATTTGTCCTACGTCGTCGTACATACCGACAGTAGGAAAAAGCTGGAAATATGCTCTGGGGACCGGTGGCAAATGGGAAGCTGTCCGGTGCTCCACTTCATTATCCTCGCGGTACCGTTGCGCACTGCTCGGCCTCGGCTCCATATGGTACGCAGAAAAATGCTCATCAGAATCGCAACGAGATGTGGCCCGTACATGGTGGCACAGAAATTCCCTGTACGCGTAGCACTTTGGCGCTGGGATATGGTGGTGTATACAGGCTCTGTTTAGATCCCACCCAAAATCCAAACATTTTCAAGATTTCTCGTCACATCGAATCTTACAGCATATACATGGAGCATTAAATATAGATAAAAAGAATAATTAATTGCATAGTTTGTCCGTAATTGGCGAGACGAATCTTTTAATCCTAAATAGTCCATAATTAGATAATTTTTATCAAATACAAACGAAAGTGCTACGGTGTCCATTTTTCAAACCGGAAGGAATCTAAACTGGCCCATAGTAGAGTTGTCGTGGTGGGGCGTGGCCGCGCTTGTAGCTCGCTACGTGCTGGCGACTGGCGACTTGGCGAGTTCACCTTCTTCACCCGCCTTCGTCGTCTCCGTCTCCGTCTCCGTCTCCGTCTGCTACCCGGGAGGACGTGGCGACGAAGGCCATGGATGCATTGGATTTGGACCGTGGGCACGCAGGTGAATAATGGACCATGGATGCACGCGCACGGCGCGCGTCCTCCGGACACATCTGCCGAGCGGTGCTGCCGCCAGCCCGCCACGAAAACCGGCTGCCCGGCTGTCCATGCAACCGGAACCGGGTCAGCAGCCACTGGAACGGGGACAGCATTGACGCCGCCCCTCGACTCGTCTCGCCCGCCCGAAGGACCTCTCGCCCGGCCTGCATGCCTCCTTAATTGCCCGTGGCTGAAGCTTTCAGCCCACTTGACAAGGATTGGATTAAAGAGGTGACTGAGGTTGTTGCCGGTTACCCATCCTGGAAGAAATGGACCGGGACGATGGATGGATGACACAGTTGTGGTTGTGGCACCAAGAAATCACAGTTTCTCTCACTTTTACAACTTGAGTAACATGCACAAGACGTCAATGCCACATTATTGTACTCCGTAGTTGTAGTGCAGTCAGTGCACAATGCTGCCATCCAGCCATCGTCCTATGTACGTATCTGCCACTGCCGTTTATAGCAGGAACGCGGTGGCGGTACACTGCCTCTGCCGTGTGTTCCACTGCCAGTCAACGCTGTTCACTACTCCTACCATAGTACTACTACCAATTTTTTTTAGCATACTACCAAAATTTTTCAGAGTACTACTACCAAGGAGTAGTAAATTGTAACTCTGCCTCTGCACTCGGCAGTGGCTAATAAGCTCTGTTTGTGTGCAATCATGATCTGTGCTATTGTTAGTAGGAGTACGTTAGTTCATCAGCTCGGAATATTCTTTAGCAAAAAATTTCGGTGCTTAGATCTCGAAGAAGTTCGTCGATTGCTCGAGTCAAAAAAATCGCAGTTTTTCTTTGTGGGCGTGCAATTATGCAACCTACTGGTTCGGTGTTCTAGCTGGCCTGTGACTATCTACCAGACTATCTACCAGACATGCTTATGAATGTCCTATCTGTATGGTGCACTATTCTTATTAGATTGTTTAGTATGTTCTTAATTCAGTTTTTCAGTAGACCTAATCAACCTACTACGGCCATGATTTTATCCCTTTTGTTGTGTGCATGTTGCTGCTGTCCAACCGTACTTTTCTACTTGACCAGTTGCTCATGTCTTGTCCTCTCTACTACGCTGCATGCTGGCTGCAATAGTCCACGTTCTCTGCATTTCAGTTTGCACAACGTTTGTTTAACAATATATGTGTGATCATCACGAATTCCCTGACAGCGACAAACCCCTGTGGTTTTCAGACCGCTCCAACATGCAGCCTGTTCGGGAGACAGTAAAAGATCGTGGATTTTTTACTGACTGAGTTTGGCGTGAGAGAAAAATACTGTTCTGGCTGAAAATTTACGATCGTTTACTATCGGCAGAATAAACAAATCTAGTAGCACCCGCATTTTCTTATATAGCTGATGATTGTCGACTAACCGGCAGAATAAACAAATCTAGTAGCACCCACATTTTCTTATATATAGTAGTAGTATCACGTTGTGACGTTTGTGGTTTTTAGTGCCAGCCAGCGACGTGAATTTTTGTGAACCTGAACTTTTGTTTCTATGTGTAATAAAAAAAAACTTGTGTGCGTTGCTCAGTTCAGTTGACCCATTTGGACAGTATCAGTAAATGTTTGCGTTGCTGTTTTGCTAATTTGCCATGTTCTTGTGCTTTCTGATGGGAGTTTGTGCATCCACGCGCAGGGAGCCGAGGCTCGGGTCGGACGCCACTGGACTGGGAGATGCGCATGCGGTCCGCGCTGTCCGCCGCTCGCGGGCTGGCGCAGCTGCACACGGTGCACAACCTGGTGCACGGCGACGTGAAGGCCTCCAACGTCCTGCTCCGCCCGGACGCCGACGCCGCGGCGCTGTCCGACTTCAGCCTCCACCAGCTGTTCGCGCCGTCGACGACGCGGGCCGGCGGGTACCGCGCTCCGGAGGTGGTGGACACGCGGCGGCTGACGTTCAAGTCGGACGTCTACTCCCTGGGCGTGCTCCTGCTGGAGCTCCTGACGGGCAAGTCCCCCTCGCACTCGTCGCTGGAGGGCGACGGCACGCTGGACCTGCCCCGGTGGGTGCAGTCCGTGGTGCGGGAGGAGTGGACCGCCGAGGTGTTCGACGTCGAGCTGGTGCGGCTGGGCGCCAGCGCCGAGGAGGAGATGGTCGCGCTGCTGCAGGTGGCCATGGCCTGCGTGGCCACGGTCCCCGACGCGCGGCCGGACGCCCCCGACGTGGTCCGGATGATCGAGGAGATCGGCGGCGGCCACGGCGGCCGGACGACGACGGAGGAGAGTGAGGGCGTGCGGGGCACGTCGGAAGGGGAGCGGTCGCGGTCGGGGGGCACGCCGCCAGCCGCCCCGACGCCGTGACGCAGCTAGCAGGGTAAAAGGTTCTCTTCTTGGCCTGATTAAATTGCATAGGTTCGTGGTGCCTGTATGCCAGTGGACAGTGGTATTCTGTTTCTTCTTCGTTTTTCTTTTCGCTTTTTTTTTCTTTTTTGTCTTTCCAGGGCATTGTTTTGTTGAATCAAAATTTCTTTTTTCTTCTCCCTCTCTCTCTTTCAGGCTTCATTCATCCAAGTAAAAAAGTGTAATTTTTCTTCAGCTTCTCTATGCTCCTTTTGTGATTGATGCTTCAAACTGGCTCCAAACTAGCAGCAGGCGAGTCTAATCATCGGTAGGCCTCTATTTCTTCATTCCATGCTACGTGCCTCACCACCGGCCCTGTTCGGCTGGTATTAAAGCCACCTGATAAGTTGGTTGAAGCTCTTAAAATACTGTAGATTTTAGCTGATAAGCGGTTGATAAGTTCAAATGAACAGACCTGCTTGCTTGTGTGTCACTCAAACTCAAGCCTATGATATGATGAAATGCCTTGCCCTTCACTCACGGCGTGACAGTGAAGCTACATTGCTTTCACATCATTTCTTGGAGACAATCCAACTCCACGGCCGCAGCACAACACAGCAGGGGCCGGTGTCGACACAAGTCAAACAGAAACGGGCGTTCTATTGGGCTCGTGGCTGTGCCATGTGTCATGTGTGGCCCAGGTGCACTGTGCGCGCACAACGACCTGGCTCATGTTCGTTCGATCGTAAACGATCATAAATTTTTAGTTAGAATAATATTTTTTTTTACACTAAATTAGCCAACTATAATAATCTACGATCGTATATGATCGTTTCAGTTTCAGCCGAACAAGCTGCTGAGCCCTGAGCCTGAGACCACGTGGAGACATCATCTCTTCTCTGCGTGATCCTACCGGGCACGACTCGCGAATCAGCGGCGGTCAACTAGAGAGATGAAGCTGCCCCCCAACAACTTGCTCCAATCCGACAGGGCGCGGGACCGGCGCGCTAGCCTGGCTGACCGGGCGTTTTCACTCTTCCAGGTCCTTAGGCTCATCGTCCGTCCTGCATCGGCATCGGCATCGGCATCGGCGTCCCCATCCCGTCCATGTCCTGTGCTGCTCTCTCTGTGTGCCCCTTGGCAAAAGACACCCGTAGCCCCATCCCGCCGCTGCCACATGCCACGGCTCGCTGCGCCCCCTGCCCTGGGAACCGTCCTGTGGCCTGTGGGGATGGACCGGGACTCCTCTCGTTTCCTCAAGAAAGATGCATTTACCGGCCTTGCATGCCTTTGAAGAAGGCATGTATACAGTGCCATTCTTCTGATGATGAAGAACGGGGCTGTGTTGTGTCCTGGCGCGGTGGCCCATGCAGGCCCCGGGTTCGCTGGCCAATGGCCACTGGGCAGCTCATGATCGGATCTACAAGTACTCCGATAACTTGATCGCTTCTGCTGCTTATAAGTGATATTTTATTGTGAGAAAAAAATATTATATCATAACCGATAAAAAATAACTGATACGATCTTATGTTCCCCAGCCCTGAGGCTTCCCAGCAAAACAGAACACAATCGCACCAGGGCAACTGGGGCAGCAGGCAAGAGTGACAGAGAGTAGCAGTCCTCTCACAGAAGGAGGTTGGCGGAGGAGGAGGAGGACGGGTCATGGAACGGCAACCTTTTCCCCCGACGGAGACACATGGTGGGGCTGCGCTTGGGCTACCCGCCATCGTCCGTCGTGCCTCCGCACTGGGCGGGGCCCGGGCGCCCACTCCTCACGTGGCGCCTTGCTAAAGCCTGGCCCGCCCTGCCTTTCGCCCTGGGCCGCGTGTCGAAAGCGGCCAGCCGTCGAGCGGCAAGGCAACCCTGCTCCTGCTGCTCGCTCGGCGCAGCGGCCGTGCCCGGATGATAAAGCATTGAGCGTGACCTGGAGCCTCCGGTAAAAATGCAGGGAACGGCAAACGGAAGGAGTTACGGTCTTTTTCTGAAGGCTTCTTCGTTCTTCCTCACCAGAAAACTCTTTTTCTTCAAACTTTTACATCCACTGAAAACTCTTTTTCTGAAGGCTTCTTCGTTCTTCCTCACCAGATCCCGTAAACGCAAACGGAAGGAGTTACGGTCGATTATATTTGTATATATAAGATCGATGTTCATCTGACGAACATTGCAAAAGTTTGAAGATTCTGAAAATTAAAAGTGACCATATGCTCCTGCACTATCTATTTATCATCTGACAAAAAGAATAAATAATTCTTGCAATTATTCTGCTCCTTTATTAGAAAAAGAAAGATATGTACAGTACAGCGGTATGGATGTATATAGTTAATCTATTGTCACTTGTCACCAGGACAGTGATTAGCCAATAGCATCTAGATCAACCTTGCCTTTTGAAATTCCCAAAAGGGACCAGCAGGGAGCGCACAGCCTGCTGATCCCAAATTGAGCAAACTGGACAGCCATCACAATTGCAGCACATTTCACAACAGTCAACACGATATACATTTCATAAGCCAAACAGTATGCTTTTTGGTGCAAATAATGCAAACATCTGTAGCTGCAAGCTTCCAGAGGATGCCAACACAAACAGCGCCGCTGTTTGCACGCTGCACCGTGCTCTGTAGGGTGCTCGTTTTCTGAACGGAACCTTCTGGCCTCATGAAAATGCCACTCAAAGGCAGATCCAGACTCCATTCCGCATCAGCGATGTCAGCATAAGCGTGAAAGAGATGGTACTTCATACAACCTGTCTGTGTTCGCCACACTAGATATCTACTTCAGAAACACTGTTGATGAATATGGGATATTTCAGTCTGTGCAATGCCATAACTATGTCCAACTATATGTCCAGTTCAAATGCGGTCACCAAAAACAGTTTTTTCTGAAAGTTACAACCAATGGTGTAAGTTTGATGCTTATCACAGGAAATTTGGAAGAGTTGCAGATCTGGAAAATCTAAACTCACGCAGCAAAAATGTAACCATATGATCAACACTAAAATCTTCTAACTTTTACCCAAAAGAATAAAAGATATGTGTGAGCTAATTACACTTCACAGTATGGGTATATTATTGTTCTATTGTCTCAACTGTAACAAGGACTGCAACAGCTGTTTGCCCATAGAGTCCTCTGACAATTCCCAAAATGGCCCAGCACAGAGTGTAGATTCTAATCCAAAATTGGGCAAACTGGGCAGACATAACAAAGGGGCAACACCTCCCAACATGTTATCCATAGTCACAGTGCGACATTTCTGCAAACAGTTCAAACATCTGTACCTTCAAGCTTTAGAGTGAGCTCTGCACAACAACAAACAGCAGCACTGTTTTCTTGCTGGCCCGGGCTCTTCCAGGTGCTCGTTTCCTGATTGGAACCTTCTGATCCCTAGAAAATTCCTCTCCAATGGATGCACAGTCCATACCATACGTGTATGTTGCTGAGCACAAACCTGTCTGTGTTAGTAACGTTAGATATTTACTTTCCAACCATGATGAATACTTCAGTATGTGCAACCTGGTATAATCATGTACAGTTGCATGCCCTATAGCATCGGGAGCATTTTGTGGTATGTACTTTATTCAGGAAACAGTCTTAGTAAACCATACATTGTGTCTCTGTCGTCAAATCTACTATACATGTTCAGAAGTGACTGTATGACGGATTTGGACAGCAGCAGACCCTTTTTAACAACACACGCATGAATTGCCTTCCCATAATCTTCAGAAGCTGCTGTTTTAACAGCAAGGATCGCTGATGAATAGATTGTTGGACTCGGTGCTGACTCTACTTCCGGCACCTTGCAACATATATCTGTTACCTCCTGATGCATGCCATTTTGGGATAAGGCACTTATTATCAAGCTCCAGGTGCGCAGATTGGGCCGAGTTTTCGTCAGAAGCATCTCACTGAATATGTCTAGAGCGTCTTCAAATTGACCATTCCGTATGAAAGCAGAAATTACTAAATCCCAACATGCTGCACTTGGGGATATGCCTTCGAGCTGCATCTGATTCAAAAGATTCCGAGCGTCATAATTCATACCACAATCAACATAAGCAGAAATCATTGATTTCCATATGACCATGTTAGATTGATCTCCACCAGTTGGTCCAACGGCCAATTGAGTCTTTGATCCGCGCTCTGATCGGGTGCACTCAGCCGTTCTCCTTGCAGATGGGCCCCCGTCGCGCAGCGCTATAAAGAGGAGGTGGAGCCCGGGACGCATTGAATGAGGTACATTACCAAAGTCTTTTATCTAAGTAGAGTTTTCCCCGCTAGATCTGCACCTAGAGGTCCTATCAGTACTATCAATGGTATCGGAGCATGGTCCTAGTGTTTAGATATAGTCTTTGGGGTAGAAATCATGAAGAAATTTTGATGGAGGTGATTCGAATCGGATTGAAACCCGAAATCCGACCCTAACCCTAACCCTAGAAAGTAAAGAAGAAGGGGAGAACCTACACGGTTCTTCCCACCGCCGTCACCACCGCCATCGCGCGGGCAGAACAGGTCGAGCCACCGCTCGACACTGGGTCACCGGCGCGTGGGCTCAGGGCGCTGACACAAGACCGCTCGACGGCGGTGCGCTCACCCACTGGGGAGCGCGCGCTCTGGCGAGGGGACCCGCGGCGGCGCCGCACTCTTCTTCTCCGACGTCTGTTGCACTGAGGAGAAAGGGGAGGAGCTAGGGTTTAGGGAAGAGCCCCACCGCAACGTGTATGGGGGAATATGGCACCGTCGCCCAGACCGCTCGATGGTGGTGCACTCAGCCTAGGGCGAGCGCGCGCGCCGATGAGGGGACCAGCGGCGACGCCGCTCCACTGCTCTCGCCTTTCCGCCGCGGCGTGGCGAGGAGAGGGAGGGAGAAGAGAAATGACTTAGGGTTTGGTTGAACCGGCCGCGACGGCGTTTTGATCTCACGAGGAGCGCGGATGGCCGTCCGATGCGATCCAACGGCCAGCGTCGCTCGGGCCAGAATCAGCCCATGCGGGCGAGCGAATTCCCGGCCCAGGCCCAGGTTGCGGCCTGGGCGCGGGGGAGCGGGCACGCGAGCCGTGTTGAGCCATCATTGGCCGCACGCAGCGCCATGACATTAAAGCAGACTAGTCCAGCGTCTTCGCTCGGCGAGGCGGACCAAATGAATAGTAAACACCGAGTTTTTTGTTTATTATTTTAGAAGCAAATTTTGATGATTTTTTTGTCCAGTTTCAATCTCTGTCCAAATTAAAGATGGCAATGGGGACCCGATCCCCGATTCCCCACGTGAAAGCTCTAGTTTGGTTTTGGATAATTGATGAAACCTAGCACTAACCTTTGTCATGAGTTGTGATATGAGTTAGGTTGGTGCAATCCAAGTAATTGAGCAAGATGAGGTCCATGGTGATAAAGGTTGACATGTGTTGATGATGATCAAGCTCAACTTAAAAAAGAAGAAAGAGAAAAACAAAAACCAAGATAATGAAGGCAAAGGTATATGATAGGTTTTTGTTTTACACTCAAGACACCATAGATGGTGTGAGTGACTTAGGATCGATTGTCGTACTATAAAGAGGGAAATCTTTGGCTAAACGATTTATCGAGTGCCACTAGGTGACATGATTTTTGCATATGCATTTAAGAACCTAGTGTGCTAACTTTGACCATTGTAAAATGCTTTGAAAAATGCTAACACACATGCACACAAGTTCTACACTTTGTGGTTAGCAAGTTGGAAGCAAGGGTGAAGAGGTTGTGGACTTAGAAAAAGAAAAGAAGGAGCTGCACGTCGACCGGACGCTGAACACGTCCTGACCGGACGTTGGCCAGGCGATTCCGGTCATTTATAGAAAGGAGGTGTTGCTGGCCAAGGAGGCCGAGGAGCGACCGGACGCTGCCTTCTGCGCGTCCGGTCACTTGTTGGATGGTGGCACGATGGCGCGACCGGACGCGCAGGGGCCACGTCAGGTCTGTGCTGGCATATGGTGACGTCAGCATTGTTCACGCGCTGAGAGGAGCAGTGCAAGGACCGGACGCTGGGCGCGTTAGGTCACCTTTGATAGGACGCGTCTGGTCAACAAAAAAACCCTTGGGGTGCTTACTGGACTCAATCGGATCTTGAGTTGCGTGGCGCCAAGTCGTTTTCTCAAGATTGTCCGGTCATAACTTAATCGTTGGGTAGTCAGCTGCTAGTCGTTGAAGTTGAACGGGCGACGTTGAATGGCATGACATGTGGACGACATCGGGTGACCGGACTCACCCGATCGAACGTAGGGCAGCGTCTGATCGCAGCGTCCGGTCAGCCCACGAGCAGAGCAACGACTCTATTTCGAGGGGCCATCTATAAATAGTTAGAGGCCGGCTTAGGGCGCATACTCTTGGCACTTTGACATTACTAACATCCTTGTGAGCCTAAGCAAACACCTTCCACTCATCTCCATCATTGATTCTTCATCATAGTGAGATTGGGAGTGATTCATAGTGCTTTTGCTTGAGTGATTGCATCTAGTGGCACTTGAGGATCATTGTGGATGCGGATTTCTTGTTTCTCTTAGTGGTTGCCGCCACCTAGATGGCTTGGAGCAGCGGAGGAGCTTTGGCATGAGTTGGTGATTGCTCGTGGCTGGCTCCGATGATTGTGAGGGGTCTTGTGCCTTCCCCGGCGGAGAGCCAAAAGGTAACTCTAATGGATTGCTCGTGTCATTAAGTTACCTCACTTATGGGTAGGTTCTTGCGATGTCCAATTGTGTGGATGAGGTTCATGCAACACCTCTTAGCCGCCAAACCACCAAGTGTTGGTCGACACAACGGGGACTAGCGTGCTGGCAAGCACGTGAACCTCGGGAGAAAAATTGGTTGTCTCTTGCCCTTTGGTATTCTTCCGGTGATTGAATTGTGATTCATCTTGTGATTGGTTCACTCCTCTACATGGCGGTATAATCACCTTACTTACTCATTTACATTCCCACAAGTTAGTTGTAGCAAGCTCTTTAGTGTAGCTAGAATTGAGAACTTGCTTTGTAGCTTAAGTTCATCTAGTGGATCTCTTTAGTGTAGCAAGTTTGAGAGCTTTTAGTGAGTAGCAACTTAGCTCTTGTGTGTGCCTAGTGATTATAGCAACTATAATTGTTTGGATAGGTGGCTTGCAACCCTAGTAGAGCTAGAGCAAAATTACTTTACACCATTTGTCATACTAATCAAATTACTCTAGTAATCTTGTAGATTTTTTAAATAGGCTATTCACCCTCTCCTCTAGCCATAATAGGACCTTTCAAGTGGTATCAGAGCCATGGTCATCGTTTGATTGAAGGCTTAACAACCTTGGTGTCAAAAGATGGCTCAAATTGTGTTCAACCATGTGGGGGGCAAACCACCGTTCTTTGATGGCACATGCTATGATTATTGAAAGAGAAAGATGAAGATGTATCTTGGTTCAATCAATGATCAAGTGTGGGATGTGATCGAGAGTGACTATGCTATCATTGATCCCGACAATCTCACCAACCAAGACAAGGCCAACAAGCAATGCAATACATTGGCTCTCAACACCATATACAATACCATTGATTCCAAGGTGTTTGAGCAAATCAAGGATTGTGATAGAGCTAATGAGGTGTGGAAGAGACTGGAGGAAACTTATGAGGCACACCGGTGGTGAAGAGTGCCAAGTTGTACATCCTCAAGGACAAGTTGATAAGCTTCAAGATGAAGGATGATGA